GAGGGGGAAGCAGGCTCCCCGCTGAGCAGAGAGCCTGATGAGGGGCTTGATCCCAGGACCCTGTGATCATGGCCTGAGCCGAAGGTAGAGGCTTAACCCACTGAGCCACCCAGGCGCCCCAACCACAGATTATTTTTAAATTTGTAATATTAAAGTATTACACGTTCACCATGAATATTTTGGGAAATTGAGAATAAAGAAGGGGAAGCCTTACCCACAATCCCACTAACCCTAAGCACTGCTGGTAACATTTGGGGGTGTGTCCTTAATGTCCTTGCAGTGCATAGTGTGCGTGTGTGGTTGTGTTTTACGTTGCTGAGGTTATATCAACACTAGTCTTTAACCCTGCTCTTTTCACGTGGATGAAATTTTTACTGCTTTTAAGTGGGTTATCAAAATAACAGCAACCACTTTGGAGCCCAGACCCTGTGATAGGCAATGTGAAGACATCCCATGCGGTATCTCCTTTATTCCTCAAAAGAATGTCTGCCCCATATCAGAGATGAGGAAATGAGGAGTTGAAGGTCACCTAGGTGTTCAGAAGTGGAGCGACTCAAACCACAGTCCATGCTTTTAACCACAGAGCTGGAAGGGTCACCTTTGGGAATAACTCATGCTTGGCCATTCCTGGGAAGCTATCCAGCACTGTAGTAAACGTACCCCAGAGGGGACTTACAACCTACCTGGAGCTCAGGTCAGGTTCCCAGCAGGGAGGCAAGCATCTCTCCAAAGCATGGACAGAGGCCACACTCCAGGTGTCCTTGAACATCAGTAATAGCTAGGAAGGCAGCTATAGCCTCCATCCCTGCCTGCCACGCAGGGTTACCTATAAAATACAGGACACCCGGGGTGCCTGGGTAGTTCAGTAGGGCAAGAGTCAGCAAACCCTGGTTGGCCTGCAACCTATATTTGTAAGCTAGGTTTTCTTGGAATTTAACCATGCTCTTTCATTTACATATTGCCTCTGGCCACTTTTGTGTTACAATTCTAGAGTTTAGTAGTTGCAACAAAATATATTTTTCTGGGAACCTTTGTGAAAAAAAAAGGATACTTGGATGGAGCCCGCATCGGGCTCTCTGCTCAGAGGGGAGCCTACTTCCCCTTCTTTCTCTGCCTGCCTCTCTACTTGTGATCTCTGTCAAATAAATAAATAAAATCTTTGGGGGAAAAGAAATACAGGACACCCAGTTAAATTTGAACCTCAGATACACAACAAATAATACTTTAAGTATAACCCAACTATCGTATGCTGGTACTAAAAACGTATTCATTGCTTATCTGAAATTCAGATTTAAATCGAGCATGCTGCATTTTTTTTTGTTACATCTGGCAAATAGTCATGCCAGCAATCATGGAAGTTTGCTTGCCTTGACAAGCTATGGTCTGCCCAGGCTCCTCTCTCTCTCTACACACATACACTCCTCTCCCCATCCCTAGCTCCTCTGTCCACCCTTTGCCTAGCTACGAGTTAAAATGTGCTGGGGCTATGGGGCACCCCAGGGTCCCTCAGCAGCCAAGAGACCAGATTCACCAGGCCTCATTGGAGCTGAGTGGAGAGCCAGCTATCCGAAAAAAACCTTAATTCTTCCCCACTCCCTGATACTTTCCCTTTTGCACACTTGAAATCCCTCCACCGGGTAAATTCTTCCTGGTTCAAATCTGTTGTAAAGGCAACTCTCATTGCTTTTGTAATCTCTCCACGGATCCCATGACAAGTTCTTCTGCCAATACAGTTTCTACCCCCTTCCATGTCCTTTCAACTGAGCATGTTGGGGTGGGGACGAGGTTGGATCCTACGGCTGTTTTGTGGGTGGCTGCTCGGAAACCTCATTGAGGCCTTGGAAAGGGACGCTGGAGATGGAGACTGAACACAGTGCTGAGCAGGAAGTTTTGAGTTGCCATGGGAACCTCTTGTCTGATGGTTTTGCACCCAGATAAGCTGCTCCAGGCGCCTGTGAGCTTGGAAAAAGGAGAGCAGAAATGAAAGGAAAGATGTTTTTGGAGGTTGTTTTGTTTTGGTTTGTTTTAATACAAGCTGCAGCCCCAGCCCACAGTGGAAGGAGGAAAATTCCCCAGCTCCCACTCCCGCCTGCCTCTCCTGGTCTTCAGGAACCCCCTTCCTTTCAGCTCCTCTAAGTTCCCAGGGAAACAGACTTCAAAGGGACAAGAAGGGAGTGTAGGAGGGGTGTACTCAACCTCTGGGATTCCCCTTCAGTTCTTATGGGGCTGAGCAAGAATTCTGGCCTCCAGGCCCCTGGTATCCCAGAGCTCTTCCTTTAGGGACAATGGGGAGGCCTCCAGGTGAAAGCTCTACTGACCAAGGCAGGAGGCAGCAACTGGGGCTGAATTCGGCAGTAACCTGGAGTAAACTCCTAAAAGCCTCATTTGCCTGGAAGGCCTCTATTTTCCAATATGCAAAATGGACATGACGGAACCAGATAAGAATCGTAACTATCACTGGTTGGAAAAGGTTGCTCTTTCTCATCGTTTTTCAAAAGATTTTATTTATTTATTTGACAGACAGAAATCACAAGTAGGCAGAGAGGCAGATACAGAGCGAGGAGAGGCAGGCTCCCTGCCGAGCAGAGAGCCTGATGCGGGGCTCGATCCTAGGACCCTGGGATCATGACCTGAGCTAAAGGCAGAGGCTTTAACCCACTGAGCCACCCAGGTGCCCCTCTTTCTCATATTTTTAATCTCTATTGTTTCCTGAGAGCAAAAGCCATGTCCGCTTGGTCTTGTTCTGTGTTTAAACAACAAACATTACAGAAATTTTGTGACTAAGAAGGGCCTGTAATTTTTTGCTGTAGAATAGTGGTTCTCAAACTCCCAGAGTTAAAGAAATCCCCCCCCGGGGGGGGGCGGTTGTTAAAAATCCAGATTTGTGGGCTCGTCCCTCATAAATTCTACTACAGCAATCCAGGAGCATGGCCCATTTCAGCTCATCTCACAAATGATGGCTAGTCATGACCTCTGAGATACATTGATCTAGAACTGACCACTTTAGCAGTTCAGTTTATATGCCTCCAGATTGGTCCTCTATGTTCTGCACATACTAAGTTTTATATCTTGGAAAGAAAAATAATAAGAGTGTCAATGTCTTTGGTGTCTACAAGTCAATGATAGTTACTAAACTCCTTGGTACCGGGACAGGGATACTAAGAAGGATAAGGTAAGGCCCCAGCCCTCAGCCTGGCAGTCTGGTGGGTGAGCCTGATGGGTCTGTACACAGGTTGGATGGTGAGAAGAGCTTTAATGGAAGAGGCATAGTGAGTCCCAACTGCCTGGGGAATATGGCACCCAATGTTGGGGGATGCCTGCCCAGCTCTCCATGGCTCTCCATTGCTCTGGGGCTGCCATCAGAGTTTTCCAATAAAGAGAATGCAAAATGGAGATGAAGGTCATTGCTAGTATGGGGACTCTCAGAGTCTGCTCCCCTAGAGTAAGCTGTATTAGGAGGTTCTGTCTTCTCCAGGTGGTGAGCAGAAGCTGTCAGTTCCCCAGGATCCCTCCTATTCCCCCACTGTCAGAAGGCACCCGGATTGGTTCAGATCAGCCACTGTGGGCCCTGGGAAATGCCCAGAAGAGCCATTTACACCGCAAGACAACATGTGGCAACAAAGAGTGGCTTGACAAGAATTTAAAGGCAGACTTTCACCACCAGAATTTAGTAAAATTAAGCCACAGCAGGACAGGAAGCCTGGGGAGGATACCATTCAAAGTACTTCAAGAGAAGCAGAATTTAGGAAGAAGGAACAAAAAGGAACATGTGTTGTTTCTAGAAAATTGTTCTATATCTAAGAATTTGTGACCCTCTAAGTTTATTTAAGTGGCCCCAGAATGTCCGGCTTGGTCAAGGCTCCCAGGCCATGCGCGACCTGCCCCCTGAGTCTGTGTTCAACCCCGTGCCCCAACCTCCCCCTCATGCCAACACTCCAGCCCCGCTGGCCTTCTTCCACCATATCAAACTCACTCCCATCCTGGGGCCTTTCCACTGGCTCTGCCCACTATCTGGAATGCCCTCGTGTGGGAACAGACAGCACATTGCTGGCTCCTTCTCACCACCCAGGCCTCCCTTAAAGGCCAGCGTCCCCATGTCCACCCTTCCTGAGCTCAGCACCCCCCTGCCCCCACAACCTCACCCAGTCTTACTTTCAGCCCAACACTCATCACGGGTACAAGCTTCTGGTTTGTCTCCCTTCCTGTCTGACTCCCCCACCACCCACCCGTGAATACAGGTTCCCAGAGCCCAAAGCTGTCATTCACACTGTAGCTCCAGCACTGGGGACAGGGCCAGGAACACAGTAGGTACTCAAGAAATGTCGGTTAAATTAATGATATAGGCCAAAGGGGGCACACATTGTCTTTTTAATGCCCATTCACGGCTGATGTACATCCTGGGCCTCGTGGCCTTCCAGCCAACCGAGACTCTTCGCCAGAGGTGCTGGCGCCTGAGGCCCGCTGGGCAGGCTCTAGGGCCTGCTCCCCCCCAGAGCCCATCAGCTTCCACCTTCCGCACACTCTTAGCTGGGCAACGTTGCCTTGCTCCTCTCCGAAGTTCGGATGAAGTTCAAAGTGCGGAGTAAGTCAGATGGATGACCAAGAACTGAACCCATGTGGGCTCATCCTCCCTTCCCACCTCAGAGCCCGGTTTCCTCCCGAAGCCTTGGGCACCGCCAGGCCTGGGCCGGATGCTTGGCTCTCCCTCCCCTGGGGAGGCTCTGGAATGCACTCTCGCCGACCCTCCCATTGGAAACAAGGGAAATGCCTCCGTGTGAGCTGCCCAGCTCAGACAAAGCTTGGCATGGTTCTCAGTCCTCCACAATCTGACCAAATAGGTATTTACTTGCGCCTTTCAGGCGTGTGGCTTGGACACGGTGTTCCGCATCGTGGAAGTGGTCGTGCACAAGTGAAACATCCGTTACTATAGTAACAGTTCCTTTTTATTGATACCAGAATAAACAGGAATGCAGAGCGGACTCACTCGTTGGCACACGCAGCCGCCTGCAGTCCCCAGGGGTTTAAGAACCGCCCTTCAGAGGCGGCCCTCCTTGCTAGTGTGGGACTTCCCAGCGGAGTGAGGGACCCAGCCACGGCTCCGGCTCCCAAGTTCCCTTCCCAGAGGTGCAGCTGAGAAGTAAGACCATTTCTATTCTGTTTCCCTTTGCTGGGGAGGGAGTGGCCGTGGGAGGAGGTGTGAGGGCCCGGGAGCCCCGGGGCAGGCTGTCAGGGGAGCAGAGCTCTTGGAGCTGGGTTACCCGGGCTCTGTCCCCCACCCAAATCCATTATCACACAGAATAGCAGGCTTAATCCTCATTAGTAGACAGACAATAGGCCGGGCTACCACTAGGCACAAGTCAGAGAACCCAGGTCCTGGCATCAGACAGAGCTCCCAGCTTTGATTCGAACTCCTTCCTTTACTGGCTATGTGATCTGGGGAAGTTAAATGACCCCTCAGAGCCTCACTTTTTTCCTCTGTGGAAGGGGCCGCAACAGTGGCCACCTCCTCAGTCTGTGGTGAGAACTTTCCAAGCTCTGGCTGCAAGTGGCTTCGCACACACCAAGCGGCACACATGCATGGTAACATGGTAACTGCCTGGTCGGTGTGGCTCGAGCACCGGGCAGCCGAGGCAGGCCTGGGACTGAGCTAGAAATCAGGGGTTCGCTGGTTCACTTTTGGGAACAGCTAACAAACCCGGCTGGTTTCCCTGGCTGTGAGCAGCCCCAAGAGCTCCGTGTCCAGGGGCTTGGATCCCGAGGGGCTCTTAGATCAGTTGGTGGTAAGTGCCTGCCAGGATTGTTCCCCGGGAGGCATATCCTGAGTGGAAGGGCTGGTATCATGCCGCTGGTGGGCCAGCAGGAGGATCTGCTGACACTTATATCCCTTATACCTGCTGACACTTGTTCCTTGTGCCACACTCCGCGCCAGCCTTGTTAAGGGCCTTCCATGTCCAGCTCTGGACTCCGCTATGACATTGGGTCAAACTCCTGAATGCCCACCCAGACCTTGTCCTCACAAACTGGGAGGTCATGGTGGACCCAGAGCAAAATGTTTAGGACTTTTGAACCATTTTCCCATGGGATGGGGGTACGGCATCCAAATGGACAAGGAGCTCTGATTTCAGGCAGGGGCCACCAAAAACGGTCTCCAGTCAGTGCAACACAAAAGGGCGCTTTCGGGGCACCTGGGTGGCTCAGTCAGTTAGGCGGCTGCCTTGGGCTTGGGTCATGATTCCAGGGTCCTGGGATGGAGCCCCGCATCAGGCTGTCTGCTCAGCAGGGAGCCTGCTTCTCCCTCTTCCTCTGCCCCTCCTCCAGCTCGTGCTCTCTCTCTCTCTCTCTCTCACTCACTGTCTCTCAAATAAATAAATAAAATCTTAAAAGGGGGGGCACACTCCCTATTGGGAGGAAAAAATGGCAAGGGGCTGGGAAATCCAGTGGCCACACTTGTGATCTTCATCGAATGCCTCACTCTCTTTTGCCCCTGGTTATTTAAAAAACCTCTCTCCTCCTCTACCCTTCTGCCTCTTGAAATGTTGAGTTAAGAAGGTCCCAAGTGCGTCCTGAACCTGCGTCTTGAATGGTACTGAGGGTCTAGGGTGCCAGGAGGGAGGGCAGGGAAGACCCTGACCAACACCCCGGGGAGGAGGACTACCAGTTGGCCCCTCCTAATCAAAGGCCAACCCCTGAACAGACAAGCTGTGGATTCTGGCTCAAGCCCAAGGTGGTGAGGGCTGGGCAGGGGCTCCCCAGTGAGTCTGTATTTCCCTTGGGCTAGAAGTTCTCCAGCTGCTAAGCCTCATCTACAAAACAAGTGCAATAAAACAGTACTGCGGGCAGCCTCCGGGACAATCGTGAGATCCAGATGTAGGTGGGTGAGCCTCTGCCAAATGCTGAATGCTACCACAGGTCCCCTCAGGAAAGGAGGAAAGTTTTGCCTTCTGAGAGCATCCCTGTGCCAGGCACTGGACTAGCGATATCATGCACATTTGATCATGTCACCCTCTAAACAGCCCCATGAGTAGGTATGGCCATTATTTCCATTGAACAGAGGCTCAGAGAGGTGAAGCTATTCGCCCAAGTTCACACAGCTAGTAAGGAGTAACCCACCATGATTGAAACCCAGTTCGTCTCCTCCAAAACTTTTGCCTTAACCTTGCGACTTGACTGGCTCGTGTGTCATGTGTTCTAACTGATGCCACCAAAGACAGAACCAGAGCGACCATGGCAAAGAGGCAGATGAAGGGGACATGGAGCCCTTAGGCATCTCAGGATCCACTGGGACCTGGGTCCCCACCACCACCCTAACATCAGCCACACATGCCCCAGCAGCTGGCGGGCTCATCCTAGGAGCAGTTAGTGACCCCAGCTGAGCCTTGCCTGGTGTGGGGCTGGTGTCTGCAGAGCCCCTAGGAAGAAGCTATGGGACCTCTTGGGTTATCAGCAGAAACAGGGAAGAACCAAGGAAGAAGCTCCCAGTCTCTCCCCTGACATTTTACTACCAACCCCACCCTGCCCCCAAAGAGGAAGAAAGTCCCATGGTCCGCAGAGTAAGTGAGAATTATTTGCCCATCCTGTAGTCAAGCAACACTCCATTTAGCTGTCACCTACCGGCTGCACCTGCCCCTCTCAGCTCATCCCGTCTTCACAGCATCATAATGTTACAAAGGAGGAGGGTCCTCAAGGTTAAGACCCATCCAAGTTCACCCAGTAGCTAAGAACTATGACCTCAACTACACCTGTCCACCATAACCAGGTCAGTCAGCTGAAATCACTCAGGCTAAAGCAAAGAAGATTGATTTTTTTTTTTTTTAATAACTCCATGATTTACAAAGCTGCCTGACTATTGGAATCTTTCAGGGAGCTTTTTAAAATCCCAAAAACCAGGCTGCCCTCCCAGGCCAATGACATCAGAATCCCTGGGGTGCCACTCAGGCATTGGTATTTTTTTTTTTTAATTTATTTATTGGACAGAGAGATCACAAGTATGCAGAGAAGCAGGCAGAGAGAGAGGAGGAAGCAGGCTCTCCACTGAGCAGAGAGCCCGACGTGGGGCTCGATCCCAGCACCCTGGGATCATGACCTGAGCCGAAGGCAGAGGCTTAACCCACTGAGCCACCCAGGCGCCCCAGGCATTGGTATTTTTAAAACTTCCTCTGCTGATGCCAACATGTAGCCAGGGTTAAGGGGCACTGATTAAATCAGTGCGGTTTTTATTTTTATTTTTTTTTAAGATTTTATTTATTTATTTGACAGAGAGAGATCACAAGTAGACAGAGAGGCAAGCAGAGAGAGAGAGGGAAGCAGGCTCCCCGCTGAGCAGAGAGCCCGATGTGGGACTCGATCCCAGGACCCTGAGATCATGACCTGAGCCGAAGGCAGCGGCTTAACCCACTGAGCCACCCAGGCGCCCAAAATCAGTGCGGTTTTTAAAGAGGATAAGAAAGCTCCATCCAGCCTCTGCCTTTGGCTCAGATCATGATCTCAGGGTCCTGGGATCGAGCCCCACATCGGGCTCTCTGCTCAGCATGGATCCTGCTTCCTCCTCTTTCTCTCTGCCTGCCTCTCTGCCTGCTTGTGATCTCCATCTGTCAAATAAATAAATAAAATCTTTAAAAAAAAAAAAAGAAAGAAAGAAAAGAAAGCTCCGTCCAAGACTAGGGCTGGGATTTATTAGTAATTGTTAAAAACAGCTAATTGGGTGACCACACCATGCAATTCCAGGGGCTCTACTCATCGTTTAATTTACAGGAGTGAGGCCCTAGGGTTGTACAGTGCACAACCTGCCTTGCTGTATTTGGCTGCCCAGATATGTGGCACCACTGAGTCTTCAACTCTGTGCTAGGCGTTTGCCAAGCACTAAGCAAGCATCCCCTTGTTTATTTTGCAACAACCCTCGTGAAGAAGGATGCTCTTCTGGCAGAAAGCAGCCATGTAGACAGTAAGTAATGAGTGGGCATGGCTGTGTTCCAAAGCGGTTGAATTTGGTCCAAAGGTTTAGTTTGTGGACTCTTGCTGCGGAGCAGAGATAAACTTGCCCAAGGCTAAGAAGGGGCACAGCCAACATTCAAATCCAGATCGGGGAGGCTCCCGTGTCTATACACCTAAGCTTCATTCTGCCTTTAACTCCCCCTCCATTGGCCTGTTCCTCTTCTCTGCTGGCTCCTCCTTCCGGCATTCAGTTTTGTCTCTTCAGAGGCAACCTCACACTGTGCCCCCATCATGGACACTTCCCTGAAGGTCTCTGATCTCTCAGGACCCCCTAGCTGCCTGAGGGACCTAGCCAGGGCAGCCCCAGGATCAGATTCTCCCCTTCCAGCCTCTGCTCAGGAGGACCACCTGCCCCCAGGCTCCCCACCCTACCCACGGAAGCCCAGGTTTTCTTGGCCTAGCATCTGGGCTGGCCCCTGTCGTTCCAGCACCTACGTGAGGCTCTTCTACATGGGGGGCCTCTTTTAATTAAACTAAAAGGCAGGGAAGCTGGCTTAGAGGCTGAGCCCTGGAGGACCCCCACACGCGTGTCCACAGATCTCACACGTGTCATTTCTAGAGCTGGCAAAGGCAGCAGTTTTCCCAGCCTGCGGTTTTGGTCTGAAGAACCAGCCACATCGTTCAGAATCCCTGCCTGAACCACCACACCACCCTGGCCTCAGGAGGACCACCTCCCCCTCCCCCACCCCAGCTACATGCTGATATCTTTTTTATTTTTTTTTAAAGATTTTATTTATTTATTTGACAGACAGAGATCACAAGTAGGCAGAGAGGCAGGCGGGAGGGCAGGGGCAGGAAGCAGGCTCCCTGCTGAGCAGAGAACCCACTGCAGGGCTCCATCGCAGGACCCTAAGATCATGACCTGAGCCAAAGACAGAGGCTTTAACCCACTGAGCCACGTAGGCCCCCCTCTGATTTCATTTTTAGAACAAAATAAAGAGGCCTGGAGCCAGAGCTGATCACTGGTCGGGCCTAGGTGCAGGACTGGCTGAATACATACAAGGTCCCTCTTCCAGGCTGGACACGGGGGGAAAGGGTCCTGTCGCTGCGGTGGGGCCCGGCCCCCGGCAGGCAACCCATTGGCTGGCTGGTGACCTATGAGGTGAAGAGTCGCCGCCTGGCCAATCAGATGTTCTTCCTCTGGAATTTAACAGGCTGGAGAGACGAGTGCCCAGTGGAAATCAAAGAAACCAAAGTCCTATAAAAATGTCCCCAAACCTGCTGACAGTTTTTCCACACACATCAGAGAGAATGGCCTTTTTAAAAATCGAATGAGACGCACTCTTTCCCCGACTTGAACCCACCCGTCCACCCTCACACCAACCACTCTCCCTGTCCCTCACTCACGCCACTCCAGACACACTATGCTTTTTTGTTCCCTGAACAGACCAAGCTTGTTCAAGGTACGTGAGTCACACAGGCTGTTCCTTCCCTCTGCCCCAAACAGCCTCTCTCCTCTTCCTCCTCCTTCTCGGTCCTCAGGTCTGAAATGTCACGTCCTCAGAGAGACCCTCCCAGTGCACCTGGCTGAAGATGGGTCCTCCTTTTAGTCTCTATCTCAGACCCCTGGTTCCTTCAGTGGGCTCCCGGCAATTTGCAATCACTTGTTTTGACTGGTGTGTGTCCATGTTTACTGTCTGCCTCCCTAACAGAAGGTCAGCTCTGTGAGAGCAGGAACCTTGTTTGCTTAGTTCACCTCTGTGTGTCTAGTGCCTACCACAAAATGTGGCAAACTGTAGGAACTAAAAACATATTGTGGAATGAATGAAAAATTTTATTGTGTATGTTCTAAATGGTCATTCCTGTTATGCAGACACTCTCAGCTTTTGTGTACTTACTTTGTATCTGGCCACATTATTGAATTCTCTCATTCATTCCAAATGTTTTAATGTTAATCCTTTTGGGAATTCTCGGTATGTCGTGGTATCTTAAGCCAATTATTTCTGCCTTCTTTCCTAAACGTATACAATTTGTTTCCTGCCTTGTGGCTTTGGTAATGTACAATAGAGTTAGTTATTCCAAAGATGGTGTGATGGATGAAAATTATGACTTTCTGGAAGGTTTGGGACAGAAAAGGACTAAAGAGGCAGGATCAACAGCCAAGGAGCTATGACAGCTATGTTTAGTGTGGTGTGGATAGGATGAGTAAAGAGGATGGCTGAAACCACTCAAAGGTTTGGTGGGACATGGTCATGAGACTACGCAGCAAAAGGGGGAAAAAATCCCCAAACGCCAGTCTGAATCAGGGATCTAATGCATTGGCTCCCAGACAACATAAGCCCACAGACTAAGAAAATATCCACATTCTAGGGAGCCTGTCTGGCTCAGTCGGTAGAGCATGCGACTATCGATCTGGAGGTCATGAGCTCAAGCCCTACATTAGGTGTAGCGTTTACTTAGGAAAAAAAAAAAAAAAAGGTAAATGCCCACATTTTTAAAAGATGAGGGAGCTGTTTTGTCAACTGCCCATTTTTAGCGATCAAATACTACCACAATCTTTAAAAACCAAAGAGCTAGGAAGGATAGAACCTGAAAGCAAACAGCCTTATGAAGAAAGTGAAGAAAGGCGATTAATTAGAATTTTCATTTTAGAGACAGTTCTGAGAATGTGAATTCAAGAAAAAAATTAGCAGATATGTTTTAAGCTCTGACACTTCATCTGGCTACTTCCAAAATATCTTGTAATAATTAACACTCTTTCCAGTTTACACAGCACCTTTACAAATGTGATCTCACTTAATTCTCCAAACAGCACCCTGCAATGGGTAATAAGAGAAATGCCAAACATGTATCCAGTGGGCCACCATTTGCAAAACATAATCTCCTCTTTGATGCCGACATTCCCTGACATGCCACCTTGCCATTTACACCCTGCCACCCCCCTTCTCCTGCATTTTCCAGCCCCACTGAGCTATTACCTACACCCAGGTGTTTGCACACACCACCATGCCTAGCTAGTTTACTTGGAGGACTCCTGTTTACGCCAGTGCTTGGCTTAGAGCAGAAGCTCAACCTCAGAAAGGCAGGATTCATGAAGGGAGAACCAGTGCCTCAATTTTCACTTGAATTACTAAAAGAAGCTGATGGCCAGGCTGTGTCATCCCCCTGGAGACTTTTTCTGAAGAAGTCTTCCTTTCTCTGTCGGTCTCTGTCATCTCTCTCTCTCTCTCTCTCTCACACAAACACACACAGAAGTTTGCTTTGGGGCACTGCAAGGATACAAAGCCAACTTATAGGAGGGAGCCCTTTTGCCTGAATTTCTACTTAAGTAAATTGACAAATTTCGAACTTCTGTGGTGGAAGTGAGGCCATCAAGAAGCCAGCCATCTGCATTAAAGATGATAGCCATCACTTTGTAATTAGACACATAGCCATTCCGGGATTTCCTACTCTCCTCTTTGATCTGGAGAAACTGAAAAGCTGGATGCTTCCACAGAGAATTTGGAATGAAGAAGAGGGAAACGGGACAATAGGGGGTGAAGTCTCCTTTTGATCACTACGTCCATCCACACTTAACAAACGCAAACTTGCTCTTTTTAAGTATCTTTTCTTTTTCTGATGAGAGCTCACTGAAAAACAAAAAACTCAAACATAATTCTTTTTGTAGAATATTATTTTCTACAAAATCAGGCCAAAAACATATGCATGTGTCCACCCCAGTATCATTTCAGCCCCACACCGCGCTTTACAAACAGATCTCCAATCCTTACAACAACCATGGGCACAGGTTCATTTATTTCCATCTCACAAATGAGGAGATCAGAAGGTCAGACACTCAGCCCAGGGCTTCCCAGCGACAGATGGCCAAAGTCCATCTAACATCGAGAGGCTTCAGCTGTGCCCCACAGGGGTGGGTAAGACTGTGGACCCCACTCTGACCAACACCCACCCCTACCTGTCTCTACAGCCTCGATGTACTCGGAGATCCAGAGGGAGCGGGCAGACATCGGAGGCCTGATGGCACGGCCCGAATACAGAGAATGGAACCCAGAGCTCATCAAGCCCAAGAAGCTGCTGAACCCTGTGAAGGCCTCCCGGAGCCACCAGGAGCTGCACCGAGAGCTGCTCATGAACCACAGAAGGTGGGAACAGAGCTCAGTTGCCTCCTCCTGGCAAGCATCTCCTGAGGCCTGCTGGGCCTCGCAGAGGCACCCCTTGTGGAAGGCAGGGCTGATGGTCATGCTGGCTCTCCCAGAGGCTGAGTACAGCTGAGGGTACCACACGTAGTCACCCACAGAAACTGTGAAGTTTTAGTTCCCAGTGGTCCCCAAGAGCCCTGCTCTCCCTCCCAGCTACCTATTCATGCCTGTCCTCCACATACATTTACTGAGCACCTACTATGTGCCAGGCATGGTATCCAGACCTGAGGTACAAGAAGGAAGGGGACCCAGTTCCTGCCCTCACAGTGGGGATGTATGCATAACCACAGGCTAGGAGGTGGCCCTAAATGGGCTGAGGAGCTCAGAGGACACACCTGGGAGTGGTCCAAGGTGACCTCCCGGAGGAGAGGATGCCTCAGATGAAGCCTGAAGGGTGGGCTGGAGTCAGCCAGACTAGGAGGTGGGCACCAGCTGGTGGAAAGCAAGTATGTTCCCAGCAAATGGAAGAGCATGTGCTAAGAGACAGGAAACACAAGTAGCTCAGGTTGTTGACAGCATTGACTTTGAGGTAGGCCAGAGATGTGCTGACCTGGAAAGCAGGGATGTCAAAATCGCGAGGGGGTGGTAGGAGGGAGAGGCATAAGGCAAGCAGCGAGGCCAGGGATGCAATGAAAGAGACAGGCTTGCGGTGGCAGGGCTGGGATTCAGTAACGGAGGGAATGTGGAGGCGGCCTGGGAAATACCTCCCAGCTGGCTAGCACCAGGAGGAAGGCGGCGGCGCCTCTGCAGCTCCCTCTACTGGCACATTCTGGAATTGGCACGAGCTAGGATCCTCATTCTATTTTCTGCTCTGTTCAAGACCTTCCAGCAGGTGTCATTTTCTATCTTCGGTGGGTTCTTTTTTGTCTTGCTTAGTATACCATGTGTATTTTCTCCGAATGTGTTTTAGAGTCATCCCTTTTCACGTCAAAAAACACCACCACCATAGAACAAACAAAAGCCTTAAGACAAATCAGGGAAACACTTGCAATATAAAACACACATAAAAATGTATACCTATCACTTACAAATCCATATGGGGAAAAATGAACAAAGAGAGGTATAGTTAGTTCGCAAAAGAAGAAATGCAAATGATGGGTGCACATCTCGAAGGCTCTTGTTCCCATGTAACTAAGAATTAGCGAAACACACATGAAAACCAGTCTTATTCCTTGCCTAGCAGATGCTCAAATACAAAAAGACTGAGCAGTGACAGTGGGGAGAAATAGATGCTCTTGTACACTGACGACAGAGTATAAACTGGAGAACCTTTTCTAAGGGACAGATGGAAATATGTGTCCAAAATCTTTTCAAAGAGCCTGACCCAGCAAATCCACCTCTAGAAACTGACCCTGGCACATAACCAGAAATGACATACCACCTGGTCTCTGCCGTCACACAGCCTGGGTACAAATCCTCGCTCGGCCCCTTCGCAGCTGTGACTTGGACTGGTGTCTTCAGTCCTAGCAGCCTCATTTCCTGGCTCCCTATAAGGGGACAGGAATGAGACCCCCTCCTGGAGCTGCCCACGGCGGGGGTGGGGGGTGTAGGACACAATGGTATAGGTTGGTGTCACTATGGGGTGCAGCCCTGAGACTGGGCGGGAGGACACTGGGCACTCCTGACGGCTCCCCCCCACCCAGGGGCCTGGGCGTGGACAGCAAGCCAGAGCTGCAGCGGGTCCTGGAGCACCGCAGGCGGAACCAGCTCATCAAGAAGAAGAAGGAAGAGCTGGAGGCCAAGCGGCTGCAGTGTCCCTTTGAGCAGGAGCTGCTGAGACGGCAGCAGAGGCTGAACCAGGTGGGTGAGAGCGCCCAGCCCTGGCCCCAGCCCCTCCCAGGACTATCTCCCGGCCTGGGGCGGGTGTGTGGGGTGGGGGTGGGGCTGTTGCTGCACTTGGCCACAGCTGACAAGAGGGACGAGATGATGCCAAATGAGGCTTCAACCCGCATTCTACCACCAGCCTAAGTCCTCATGCTGCCACTCACTCGGCTGTGTGACTTTGAGCTGGTGGCCTCCCCTCTCTGAACCTCAGTTCCCTCACCGGCCCAACCTATCGCATGCTGATCCTGATTTCATTCTCGCTATGGCCCTACAAGCCAGATGGCGTTCCCATTCTAGAGATGAGGAACCTGAGGCCCCAGCGGAGGCAAGCGATCCACCACAGCTTCACAAGGAAAAATTCCCGTTCTGTTTCCCCCAGAGAGGATCCGTGGTCCAAACACTGTGGTTTGGGGAAGCCCCCAAACCAGCCCCCCACTTTACACCTCTGCTTTGTCTCTCCTTTAGCTGGAAAAACCACCAGAAAAGGAAGAGGACCATGCCCCCGAGTTTATGAAAGTCAGGGAAAACCTGCGGAGAATCGCGACACTCACCAGCGAAGAGAGAGCTCTGTAGAGGGGGCTGTTGGAACTCCAGCCCCAGCCGGCCGCACCCGCCTGCAGCCCTTCCGCGCCTGGTAGCCCCGGGCCCCCAGCCTGGGGCCATCTGCAATGGTGTTCACGCTTGCTCTTGTGAAAATGCCCCAGAGGGCCTGGGCCCTCCTTCCCACCCCTAAAGAAGCCGGGGCCCCTAAGCTCCCTGGCTTTTCCTTCCGAGCACTCACCGCTTCTGCTCCAAAAGGAAGCTGCTGCTGAGAAAACTTTCCCAAGGCACCTCTCCCGGAAGCTCTGCTGAGATCCTCCTGGCAGAACTGGGAAGGAGAGAGAGGCCCCTCCTTGGCCTGACCAGCCCTCCATCTTGCCCAGGCCCCACGGGGCCCTGCTTCTCTGGACAGCCCAGCTCCCCGCTCTCCGAAAGCTTCCCTGACTGTGGTTTCCCCTGCGGTCATGTGGGGGACATTGAAGTATAGCATCTCAGAACACCTGCCCTGAAAGCCAGCTGAGGGGAATATGGTTCAAGTGCAGCTGTCCTTGGGGAGGAAGGGCAGGGCAGCTCCGAAGGCGGCCTCGGCGCTCACAGCCGCCAGGTTGCAAGGGTACTGACAAGGAAAGCTTCTCAGAGTTTGCCAGCTTCCCCTACACCCAGGCGCTTGCTTTCTTCTCTCCTGGGCCTCCCTGTCTGGGCCTTGTAACCACACCTAACCCGGGCTGCGGCCTTCCTGCTCCCCAAAGTTTAGAACAGTGCTTCTCAAACTTGCTTGTGCCTATAAATCACTGGGGGTCGTGTTACAGGACAGCTTGTGATTCAGGAGATCTGGGCTGGGGGCTGAGAGTCTGCGTTTCCAACCAGCTCCTGGGCGGGGCTCTCACCACCACCCTGTAAGCAGCCAGGAATAGTAAATACTGGAAACGCCTTCCCTGAAGCCACCTCTGCCCTGGGGGGTTCCCCGCCCTGCCTCTGCAGCCCCAAGGGCTCTCGAATATCCACCCCATTCCAGGGTCCCCAGACCTGGGAAAACATTTGCCCAGCAAATTATGTCCGTTTCATAATTGCCATTGTCACTGGAGAGGTCTATCATTGCCAATCTGCATTTTCTTACCCCACCGTTATGATGCAATTCTAGCAAAAAAAAAAAAAAAAAAAAAAAAATTATTTTCCCGAAGTCTATGGAGAACAAATATACAGTGATTTCCGTGGGTTTCTGGAAATACGTACGGTGGTTCGTAGGCTCCTTTGAGTCCCCATTTCCAGTTCCTGCACCAGCTCCCTGCTTGGTTTCCACCACCTGAGCTCCAGTGACGTCACTCATTCTTCCTCAAAACCCTCCCCGCGCGAGACCACGTGTGTCAACCTTCTGCTTCTAGCCCACTGTTAAAGATTTAGAGAAGAAATCAGGCCAGTTTCTTCCCTGCCCCGTGAGGGATAAAATCCCAGCCCTCTGGCCTTGCAACCCCTTCATTTAAGGTGATAGGGCAGAACTAGAAAAGCATTTCCTTCCACCGCCTCTCCCCGCCAAAAACGGCCAGAAAAAGCTGCTGCTGGAACGCTATTTTATTCTCGGACCAAACGTGGGACGTTCAGCAGGAAAGGGGTCATCCTGGTCTCAACCCCTAACTGAGTGGTTTGAGGATGACCAAGATGGTGCCCTTTTCCTGGGTGGGGTGCCCAGCAGTGTAAATAGACATGCTTCTTGCGGGTGTGTGTGTGTGTGTGCGTGCGCGTGTGCATGTGTGCAAGCCAGGCTCTAAAAGGCTCGTGACTCTGTCTTAGTGAGAACATGGTCATGGTATTTTCATGTCTGCCTCTTGAGAGCAAGTGTAAAGCACAATCCCCAAATAAAGACCACCATTTCACCAAAGACATCTCCCCCTGAGGTCTGTGTGTTGCTCAGACATATGACAAGAAGCAGGATGGAGCATCTGGGATGGAGCAAGCCCCTCGGAGAGGATGGCTGGGATTCCACTCAGTGCTCCCCAGAGGTGCTCCGTGGAAGTGGCAAGCCACGGAGATGAAACTCCACATCGTCCGGTGGGGCCTCGGCAGCCACCCACATCCACGCCCCTTCTCTCTAGCTGCCTCCCACTGTGGAGGTTATAAATCCCAACTCCCACTGTTCCAGACTCCTTTGCAGCTTGGGGGGGACATATGAACAGGTATGGCCAGTGAAATTTAAGAGGAACTCTACAGGGGCTTTTGGGAGAGTTTATGCTTTTCTGCTAAAAGAGGCAGACACTCGTAACACCTCCCTGGCCCTCCATTCTTCCTGCCTTGATGGAAGATGTGATGCCTGGAGCCACAACAGGCATTTTGCCACCATGAGGAAAAGCCAAGAGAATCTCAGAGCACTGACCCTGTCATCATTTGACCAAGCCAATGCCAGCAGCCATCCTCCTCCAGAATTCTTACAAATAAAAAAGAAAACCCTCTTTGTTTAAGCCGCTGTTGGTCAGTCTCTGTTACTTGCAGCCAGAGCATTCCTGACACAGAAGGCCAGCCCTGATGCCTAGAATAACCACTAGACTGTACTGAAAATCCAGATTCCTCTTTCCCATTAGAAACCAAGTGGAGGAGTGGGGTGCCTGGGTGGCTCAGTGGGTTAAAGCCTCTGCCTTCAGCTCAGGTCATGATCTCAGGGGCCTGGGATAGAGCCCCACATTGGGCTCTCTGCTCAGCAGGGAGCCTGCTTCCCCCCACTCTCTGCCTGCCTCTCCACCTACTTGTGATCTCTCTCTATCAAAAAAATAAATAAATAAAATCTTTAAAAAAAAAAGTTAAAAGAAAAACAAGTGGAGGGGCACTGGGTGGCTTAGTCGGTTAAGTATCATCTGACTTGTGATTTCAGCTCAGGTTATCATCTCAGGGTTGTGGGATCGAGCCCCATGCTGGGCTCCACACTCAATAGGGGGTCTGCTTGAGATTCTCTCTCTCTCCCTCCGCCCCTCCCAGACCCCTTACACACACACACACACACACACACACACACACACACATATATGCTCTCTCTCAAATAAATACATAAATCTTAAAAATATTTTTTTTTTTTTAAAGAAAGAAACTAGTTGGATTCGGATCGCCAGCAGCAATGCCTGAGATCTGTTTCTCCGTCTCTTCTCCACACAGCCCACACACCAGTCTGGTATCTGGGCACCCTTAATTCACACAGCATTTAGTACAGATTTGCTGAGGGCCTGCTCGGTGCCAGGAAGCACGCTGTGTGCTGGGGGCACAGTCGGAAACAAAACGATGAGATCATTGCCATGGCCGCCTCCTCGCTGGTCTCCCTGCTTCTGCCCTGTCCCCTATGGCCTATTCTCAAGAGAGCAGACAAAATGAGCCTGGGAACATGGAAGACAGGTCTTGGCGCTCCTCTGCCCAGAGCCCTCCCTTACCCCGCCACCCCCCATGACGGCCTTCCTGCCACCCGGAGTGCCCTGCCTGTCTAGCTCCCTCTTCACCTCTGGCCTCCTGCCTTCTGCCCTCCACCATCCCCCAGCTCCGGCTGCTGGCCCAGTCTCCTCATGCCCCACATCCCACAAGGTGCCTTTTCACCTTCTTCCCTCAGAGAGACATACAGTCCTCTCCCCCACAATCTTCAGGACTTTTTTCTATGCTCTTTCTAAAGGAGGCCCTCCGTGGCCGACCCGTCTGACTCCCAGCATCTCGTACACACTTCCTATCCTTCCTTCCCCATCTTATTTTTCCTCCTCACCATTTGCCGCCACCAAACTACACATCTTCCTTGTTTACCTTGTGTGTCTCCCCTAGAGAAAATGTCCCCTCCATGAGGGCAGAGATGTTTGTCTGTCTCATTTCCTGCTGAATCCCAAATGGCCGTCCTCCGTCCTCCTTCCCCGCCAGCAGGTGACCTGTCCTGTGCCAGTCTCCAGCCGACTGGGCAGACTGGGCCCCGGGAGCAGGAATCCAGTCCTGTCCCACTGGTGGCTTTGAGAAAAGCCAAATAGGCTTGGGGCTCCAGCCATGCAACAGGTGCTCGATTCCTGTTTGTTGAATGACGAGTAAGTGAGAAGGCGCTTCTCCCGAGGCAGCACCGCCATCACCTACCTGCCCCCTCCCTCCACAATCCCACCTGGGCCCAGAGATGTCAGTTTGGTCCAGAAGCTTTCCTCCGGCTGCTTGGGCTGTTGTCAGTATACCTGGGCCCGACCGCCTACAAGACCAACACTGGAGCTGTGTGGCTGCTACGCGCCATTCTGTGGCCATCCAGAGAGTTAGAACATTCCCGAAGGCAGAGGTTGAGTCATCGCCGAGTCCTGGGGACCCTGGAGAAGGAAAGGAGCCCTGACATCAGACTCTGCCCTACAGGAGAACCAAGGGCAGCAAGCCCATTCTCACTAAGCACCCATCTTCCCCTACACCTTCCAGACCACAAGCCCCAGTCTGGGTTTGGGGTGAACCCTCTTCGATGGCTGATGGGCCCAAATACACAACCTGGGAGACAGACCTCAGGAGGTGAAGGGGCCCCCCATCCCTGATTCTGCATATGTAGCCCAGGGGAGCCCTCAGAACCCAGGAGCTTTGTTGGGCAGCCTTACCTCGCTAGGGATTATACGACTTCCAAGCTCCTGGAGGGCAGGGACTCTGGCTGATTCGGCTTCCATTTGCCAGTACCAACCCAGGTGTTCCAAAAGCTGTGACTGGGTGTCAGTTACGGTCACTGCATTTACAGAAGGCCAGCAATGTCACCACCCATGACAACGTGATGTCAGTCTCACTATTCTGCAGACTAATCAACGTTTAGGTAAATTAAAAGACCTGCCCGAAGTCACAAAACCATCCCTGGGGAAAGACAAGATTCCCACAGAGCCGTCTGTCTGCAAAGTGCACATTTTCTCCACTACAGCTAGGCCTTGATCCTAGGAAGGGCACGGAGGAGGGCCCTGTGCCATTCTGACCTTTGGCCATGAGATTCGTTGAGCTGTTTTAACCTTCTCTGTGTCTGCACTTGAGGGATCTGGCCTCTACCCATAAAAACAGACTCAGGTCAACATACACTGATGTGAGTTCTGGGGTTCTGCTCCCCCCAAAGCCAACCAGTCTCTGGAGCCAAACAACAGGTTAGCATCTACCGTCGAAGTGGGATTCCTGCCCGCCTTGCAGGACTGGACCTTCTGCTGAGCAGTAACGTAAACACTCTGGTGTTTCAGTACCCCCCACCCCCAGACCCATCGACCCCCAGCCACCCTGATCCCACCAGGCCCTGCCTCACAAACGCCCTTTGGCCCTTTTGTCCCCATACTCCCCAGGGCCACTTACCCTCATCTGAGCCATCCAAAGATTACCTCAGTTGATGAAAAGCAGGTGCTCACCTAGGGAGGACACTTCTCAGAAAGGACTCCTGGAGAGATGAGCAGGATTTCCCAGGGAAGGACCCCGACAACTCCCCTGGGCTGCCCAGCAAGACCAAAGTGAGCTGGGGCTCCCCTTCCAAGGGACAGGCTTTGCAGGGGACCAGGGAGCTGAAGCTGACCCGTTGGGGAACCTGACCTAAGAGGCGCATTCCCCATGGCAAGGCTGACTTTAGGCTTTTGCCCCATAAAGATGGTTAACCCTGTGCCCAGACCTGTATTCAAGCCCCAGCTCTGACAATCACTACTTGTCACAGACCTGGGAAACTTGCGGGACCACATTGTCCACATCTGCAACACAGATAATGCTATTTATACTTATAGAATATTTGGTGTCTGTGGCAGGGACTGGGCTGTTTATATTTCCTGTGAATTCTCTCCTTGAATACCCCCCAGGACTGGCATGCCTCCACTTTACAGGGGAAGAGTCCAAAGTTTAGAGAGGCCAAGCCACCCCCCAAAAGGCACGCCATCAGCAGGTGGAGGCAGCAAACTGGGAACCCATGAACCCACGTCTGCCTGAATGGGCCAGCACATTTGTCCTGACAGCGTCTGCTGGTGGAGGCCGCAGGACTGTTTTTGCAAAGCACCCACATTCGAGTTTTCCCATCTGTCACCGCAAACATCCTGCAAGCGAGCGCGCTGAGGACCTGCGGCCTTCCTCCTTCCTTTTTCCCCGACTGCAGGTGCCCTAGGGACAAGAATCCACGCCCATTCCACTCACCACTTTAAGACAACACCGTGGCCAGTGGGACACCAAGGTTCGAAAGCCTGGCCTCGGCC